GTTAAACAAATTGATAACACATGTATCATCAAAACTTTTTTAGTGAATTTGTATCATACTCATAGTCTGCTTGCTAGTATCTTAGATTTTGACTTACTATGTCCTTATTCCTTGTACTTACAACTTACATGAGAATTAACAAGTGGTTTGATTTGATTTTGATTTTATTGAAATTGCTGCTGGTGTTGTGTCCCGCACATAGATATGGATACTGGACAGACAATACTCATTTTTACTTGAGTCTAGTGGGGAAAGTCGTGTTAAGTGCCTTTCCCAAGGGCACAAGATCGGTGGCATGTCAGGACTCGAACCTAGGACCTCTTGATTCCGAGTCGTGCACGCTGCCATTGCGCCACACGACCCCACTGACAAGTGGTTAGGCCATAGCAAACAAACAAACAGGCAAACAAAAAGCAACGTCACAACAAATAAACACACAAAAAAGTACCAACTCCCTACATTAATTGCCAAACCTACAGAGAAACAAAACCATACGTACCGCTGCCCCGTGCGGTTTCGTTGCCGTTATAGTTGAGGCTGTACCAGGTGTCTCCCTTTGGCATGGCCTCCGGATGGGTGATCAGGTAAGCCAGCACCAGCATCCCCAGCAGGTGACACACCTGTACAGGTACACAGGTGATGCAAAGTGAGTAAAGGTGTGGTGGACAAAATACTGCAGCTAAATGTAGAAGCATGTTGTACATGTATTGTGCTTAGCACTTTGGCAGAATGTCTCATATAAGGGCGTATTTGCATATATCAGAAGGATGGCGTCCTGTTAGTAAATAATAGTAGTTTCAAAATGTTATGGCGAAAAAGATATCGTCTGCAACGGGCAAAATCCTGATGCAATGTTGACCAAGCATCCAGTGAAAACTTTGAAAAATCAGGGTTTCACGCAGGCGCAGTACGTTCTGTGCTAGCTACATGTTGGCACAACGTAATGTGCCTGCACAAAACAGTTAACCTCTAATGTATTGTGCATAGCACTTCGGCAGGACGACTCTTTTGAGTAATCACAATGACATCCTGTCCACAGTTTTCAAATGTTACGTCAGAAAAGGTATTTGCGACGGGCCAAATTCTGAATCTGATGCAATGTTGACCAAACATCCAACAAAAATCCAGTTTTCATGCAGGCACGGACAGTAAATTCTGCCGACAAGTTACAGCTAGCAAGATTAAATATCTGTACCCTACACAAATAACAAATAGTTTGTTTATTTATCTTTAAGGCTTCAACAGAACAATGGAGGGTATGGCATAACAGGTGTCACCACCTTCTCAAAGCCGGACATGCCATAAAAGAACATTAGAAAAATACTAGTATTACTGTAAATATACAACAAATAATTGTGTTATTTCTTGATTACATCAAACAGGTGTTTTCTATTCTGGTATGTCCACGTTTCATTTTCATTTTCGTTCCTACATGTACAGACAACCATCCTAAAACAAGTGGTTTTTGTATATCTGCTTCAAACCTTCAAATCTTGTAGTCTTTAAATACAAAAGAATAGAATGTTTATGGAACTTTCCTTCTCTACTATTTTTTTCCGCAACAAATCAAAGCCTACCTCCAAATGACATCACTTCCTGATATTAAGAAATTTGATGACTAAAAAAACAAAAGCTTGAACACAAAAGATCCGTCTTCAAAAATAAACCTAAAGTCACGTACATTAAGAGCATTATATTATCTATATATAACTTAAATCTTAAATTGTTGGTACAATTTCCGTGTTGTTGAGTCTTTGTTACTCTGACAACCATAAATTGCGTCATAATATAAATATTTTGCTGCTACTTCCGCAGATTTTCTGTTGAATCGTGTCAAGACCGCCATCTTTGTTTTTCACAAGCTTAAGAATTTATATATCACTACATTGTCAGACAACAGTCTAACATTTACGAAGATTCAAACCATGACATCTCCACACACACACGAAAATCGATCTTGAACATACTGAAGAGTTATTTTCGCTGAAAACATAGGGTTTTAGCCGTGAAAAATCGCAGAAAAATATGGAAAAGAAGTACAACTCACCAGGTGTAGAAGGCCGATCATGATGGCCCCTGCCCGGACATGCAAGCACCCGCAACAGCAGCGAAATTCGCCACGTTTCATCCCTTCCTTCGCCTGCATTCTGACCAAATCCTCGCCTCCTTCCTTAAAACAAATCCTTAACTACCTCCTGATCGGACAAAACGGAAAGAAATCGTCTTTAAAACGCTGTAATTTGAAAAGGAACTGTTCCTCTTTCTCAGTTTCGTCTACTTCTCGTCCGACTTCTTGGTTACGTCATACGAGTCACATGATCTCATGTGACTAACATAACCGGTATCCATGCGCCGTGGTGGAGGTGACGACTAGCGGTGATGCGCCCACACAAAGTAGTCCTAGAAAACTGTTCGGCCTTCCTGCTGTGCTTTAATATGTTTGTCCATTTCTTTGCTTATCGGTGTGAATAATCATTTGACACATCTCTATTCCAGTGAAACTAAAACAGTTCGATTATAGACCCCCTAGCGTCCTTCTCTATTACTGCAGCAGAACTTCCTAGGGGGCGTATGTAACAGATTGTCGTGATTTTTGGTGTAGATGCCTTACGCGATTATTCATGTAATTAGGTTATAATTGATGAGGAAAATTCATAAATTAGCTGCATTCTAAGATGAGATAGAGGTATCACAAATATATCAGGCTTTTTTCATTTGATATTTCTTTTTAAACAAGGAGAAGTCGTAGACATCATCCCTCCATGAAATAGCTTGTTATTTTGTAATCTTTTGGTGTATTTCAATAGAGATATTATGAGTCAAACTTTGTTTTTATCAGCAGAATGATTTGTGGTGTCACTTTGTATTTATCAAGCTGTCATGTGCAGGCGTTTAGTGTCTTGTTACCATGGTTTGTTTACTTTGATGGCCAGCAGGTCATTTGCCTTAGCCTGGGTACCATCCCCAGTAGTATATTCGCAAACTCTATAACTGTTATAGAGTTTGCGAATATACTACTGGGGATGGTACCCAGGCTACATTTGCCTGTACATGTAGGTCAATGACCAGGCAAATGACCTGCAGACCAGACAAACAAGATTTATTTTCCTGCAGACTGTCTAGGGGTAAAAATAGATAGGACTGCCTGGGTCTGACCTGCCAGCTGGAGGTATAAACAAAAACACTCTGTCCCAACTTTTGGGTCAAACAGACCATCCTATTATGAAGTAGGGGTGAAAAAGTGAAAATCCTTTTAAATTAAGCAATAAAAATATGCGACAACCTGCTAATGCACTCCAAAACACAAAGAGACTCAACAACTACCCACATACCAAAAATCATACCAAACCATCCCCCAGATTTTCCAAACATTCAACACAAAAAGTCCAACATTAAACATTTTGTAAATATCAAACGCAAACAGCTAGGGGACCCAAATTCAAACCACTAAACCATGGTAATAACAACTACATGCTACCTTAATATCGCACAAACAGTCCATCACGCGAAAACAACAGAATAAAAAAATTAAACTGCAGTACCAAGGTCAATCACCAGGGGCTCAAAGTCAACCTACACAATCTCCAAGGCCCCATCCATCAATCTGCCAAATATCGTACAGTTCCTTCTCACCGATCTTCAGATATCAGACCAAACATGAAACGGAGTAAAAACAGTACCCCCATTTTCATGGAGGGTAAAGATCACTTGCAGAGCTTGATTGTATGTATTATGTCCTTCAGTAGTCATTGTAATTTGATACGTAAAATGAAGGTTCAAGGTCATACATGATATGGAAAAAATATATAAAGCAAAAATGAGCAATCTGTAAGTAGGTGTACTCAAGATAAAATTTGAAGTGTGTTGGTACCGTTTTAATTTCAAAAATACAGCTTTTGATCAATGATACATAGAACACAGATCATATAGTATTTCCACATCACCAAGCTTGTACCGAGGAGGGCATTGCTTTTATTTTACTGTGTACAGTAATGGGAACATGTACATAGTGTACATGTACATACAAATATTTGAAGTAACATAAAATACGAAATATCATAAAACATAAAATACTGTTTTTTCTACCTACCTACCTACCTAGTCCCTCGATCTCTTTTTTTTTCTATAGAGATAAATCACATGTACAGAATATTTGTGATTGATAAAAGTAATTTGAAGTTAAATTGCACATAATTGTAAGATACATAACGTTACATTTGTAATACATTAAATTACAGGACCAACATTGGAACATCAAATATTTGAAGACCACACTACCACTGCTTGCAAGAGTCATTTGTCCATGATCATACATGTACATGTGTTTATTCAAAATTCAGCTAAAATTCATCTATAGAATTTTTTTCCCTTTTCACCTCTTTACAGTCTGTGTGTCATTTTGCAATTAGCCTTTGGGCATGAGTTTGGAAATAAATCAAAAACAAACAAAAAGTTAAGTTTTTAAAAATTAATCAGCATGAAACAACAATGGAACTGGGAAAATTATAACATTTTTTATACTGTCCCAGCAGAGGTTTAGACGTCAGATTATTTTTGATGTGTTTTTTTCTGGCTTTCTGATTTTTTTTTTTTATCTTTCTGGCTTTCTGATTTTTTTTTTCGGTATCTTTTTTTTTTTTGTCCAGCCTAAAACCTATGGTGGCATATAGGATACTGCTCTGCCAATTTGATACTGTGTTCTCAATTTCATACTGTCTTGCAGCCTCCAAAAAAATTATGCTTTGAAACTAATTTTGTGAAATCTTAGGAGACTTTCCTCAGCAGATCTTCCTTTGTGAAGCACTCTTCTTTATGCCCATTCTTCCAGTGTAGCGTCTGACATTCCACACTACAGTACCGAGCCAACAGGCACCTGGCACAGGCTTTCAGTGGCTTCCCCGACTCGCTATCTGTTTTTCTACAGTCCATCCGAGAGCATATCACAGGCACGGCCGCTATGTGACACACCAGGCCTTGTTCCACGTGTGGCCCTTCTGTTATCAGTCTCTTTGGTTTGGGAAGAAACTTGAAGTACTCCGAGGGATGCCCTGGTTTTTTATTTCAACCTTGAGCAGTTCGGCGATGAAGAGCAACCGTCGCGCTTCCCCCACATCGTCGGAACCCCTTAACAATCTCGCGTTCATCTCGAAGAGTTTGAATCCGCCTTTTTCCTTAAACGTGTTCTTTTCCTTGTCGCTGCCCATCTCTACTGTGTAGTGAAGGATTCTGTAAGTGTAGTACAACGTCACGG